CCTTACAATCCATATTCTAAATTCTTTATCCGTCATTTAAATCTTTTCCTTTAGGTTGGTATGTATTGGTAAGGAGTTATTGTTTTCTTTGGGGGTGTCCTTTTGCTTTGATTTTTCATATTTCTTAAGTTCTTTTGCTGGTTCCTTCTCATCTGGCCTGTCAATCGAGAGCTGAGGGTACTAGGGCTGGCTTATGGACCTGTCTCCGAGTCCCTATAGATCAGTTCCTGACCATGCCAGGGAGAGGAATGGTTGTCCCGAGTTGCCTTTTTGGTGTTGTACCAGGTTTGATGAACCTCTTGGGTTATGCCACTGGCTCCATTCTCAGTGTCAGGCTTGGCCAGGAATGTGCCCCACTCCAGAGAAATAGGCTTCTCAGCATTGAGCACTCTCATGGTGTCTATAGGAGCAGAGGGGCCGTGATATTCGTGTACTGCTCTTGTGTCTTTTGGGGGCACTGAGTCTTCCCTCCTGTCCAAGCTGCCTGTGGGCCATCCTATGAAACACCGCTGCTGCAGCTCCACCCTCAGTGGCAGGCTCGGCCTGTAATGTTACCCCCGCTGCAGAGAAACAGGCTTCTCAGGACCGAGCACTTTCGAAGTTGCTATGGTGGGGAGGGGCTGCAGTTAGAAGCTGGCTTGAGCCAAAATTACTTTCTGTGGTGCCAAGAATGGAGGAGATGCTGAGGAGGAGGTGTCTAGGTGTAAGAATGCTGGCTATTGGTCTGTTGTAGCCCTCTCCCAGAGGGTGAGAGTTTTGTGTCCTGGTGCTTGCCAGGGTCACCCAAGTGGGGGAGGGGCTTTCACTGGGCTCTGAGCCTCTCTGGATTAGGTCTGTGCCACTGTCCTCTCTTCTTTCTCTTCCTCTTTCTCAGCTTTGCATCCCTTCTCAGTGGGGTCCCTGGGACACCTCTGCTGTCTCTCCCTGTGATCCATATCTGAGCTGCAACTGTGCTGCACTCTCCTCAGTTCAACCTTCTACTTTTCAGCTGGAACAGTCTGACAAGCCATGTTTCTAGTTGGCCATCTTGGCTTCCTCCTCCTAAATTTTTAGTCATCAATTTTTTTCCAGAAACCAAAAGAGAACATAAAATGGTTTTTTATTAGTCAATTCAAAAAGCATAAGGCTGTGAAGTGCTTGCCTAAAGAGACTGCCTATCTTATAATAGTGAAGAATTTCATGAAAGTGTAAGTGCATGATAAAAAGATAGTTAAAAGGCAAGTGTTAGTCATCTTTTCCTCTTCAGGAAAGAAAGCAGTGCCACATTGCTTGGAATCTGATTGTTTTATGCTAACTTTAAAAGACAGGAAAATAAAGCATCTTAGAAGTAGTAGGTGACTTAATCTTTTTTTGTTTGGCATAAAAAATTTGTTTTCTGATGGAAGAGACAAAATGCCTTGTCAATTCACAAATCATGTGAGTGTGTGAAGATTTGTTTAAGAAACAAAAGACAATTATAAAGATGAGAAAAGCAAGTTTATTTTTGAGAGACCTCAAAATTCTTCTCTAAGGTGGCTAGAAGACTAACCATGCAGATATAGTGCAAAATCCTTAACCTCTCAGGTAATGCTGTGCATGAGCATGTCATAACAGCAAATTATTCATAAAGTTCACCTATTTTTTAATTTTAATTTTGGTGTGTTTGATATGAGAATTCCTGCAGGATGTATGTTTTCTAGCAAATAGAAATATAATTTCATGAGCCAGAGAGAATTAAAGTTGCTACATATGAATTCTATTTTTTTCTATACCATATAATCAGGTGATGGAGAGAACATGACTTTATTCCTCAGATTAGTTTTTGCCTTTAAATATTCCCATCCTTTGCTACTTCTTATCAATTTCTTAAAAATGCACTCATGTTTATGTTTTTATAGGATTAATAGAGAAATTAATTTTGTTAGGGTACTAAAGAACAGAAAAGGTTTATGGTTTCATGGTATAGAAATCCCTGCAATTGCTTCTTTTCTACCCTTGGGTTACACTGAAATAAAATGTATCTGCTATAGATAAAAAAAAGCTGAATAGTTTCCAGGATTTGAATTTCTGCACATAGTAAGTAGAGGGTTTTTCTTTCTTTTACTCTTCTTCAGATGGCTAGAACTTTTTGTTAGCTTTTAGGTAGGGTTTAATATTTTGCTATGTGACAAAAGACAGTTTTTAAGTCAATAATTTTTTATGTATAAATGATGGGCACTCATCATTTGGCAGAGGTTTTTGAACATTTTGTATCATGTGATCATTCAAGAATATGATGAAAGCTATATATCATTTCTTCAAAAACAATTTGCATAAAACTTTGCATAAATTTCAGGGTATTTATGAGATATCTGAAATTGAATCCATGCTGTAGGAAACACAAATCAAGTAGAAGTGTCATCTTTTGTCAAGGAATGAAAAAGACACTTGGATACTCAAGACACAGACGTCTGAAATAACGAGGGCACCTGTTCCAGGCAATGAATGATTAGATATTAATATAAGGCTTTGATTTGTAGTGTAGGTGCTGTAGACACTCAGCGAGGGGGTACTCATTAGGGAATGATATGGAAGAGTTTGGTAGTAAAGATGCGACTTAACTGAACTAAGATGGTGTATGGGTGTTCTGTCCCCAGATAAGTAGGGCTTGCAGTGTGGCAGGGAAGGGGTTGAGAAGTAATGATAGTAGAGTGTAAGAGAGGACAAGAGCATGGTGTATGTATAAGGAGTAAGAATTAGACCATTCACATTGGAGAACAGTGGAAGATAATTGTGGATGGGCCTTACCTTTAAGGATAAATGGAAATAAAGAAAAAAATATGCCATTATAGCATAAACTCTGTGCTGGGTATTTATGTGAATTAAGTGACTTTTAATTTAGGAAACTGATACATTTTTAGCTCTACTAATATCATTTTTGGAATATTGTATTTATAACATCTTTAGCAGAGTTTCTTCATCTTCAAATTGATATGACAATACGAGTATACTTTATAATTAATAAACAACAAATTCCACTGCAACAATCTAGAAAGACCAAACAATAAATAGATATCAAGTGTCAGGCTTTGTATTTGAGGAGAATGAGAACAAATATCTGTAGTTCCCCAGATGCATATCCTATACTATTTGTTCTAGCAATTAGGATTTTAGTTATTATCATACTAAGTAATAACTTAGTTATTATTAAGCAAAGTTAATCTTTGGCATATTAGTCTACTATCCATTAAAATACAATTATTAAAATTGCTACTGTGCTGAACTGAAAGCAGGCATAGACTCAAAAATAGATCTTCCATTGGGAGACCATTGCACGTCTAGGGCACCGCTTTGTGGGCACATAAGCTGTGAAAAGATCATGGATGCTGGTTTGACCATCTGGGTCACTTGCAGACACCTACCAGAAAGTATTTATTATCTGATGGGATCATCTAAATCGAACTGTTGATTAGCTCTATATTTTAGATGCAGAGACTGATTGCATTCCTCATGTTACAGGTATCAAGTCATATCTCTAAAGAATGTTTTTTCTATAATTTTCATTTAGATTTTTAGGACCTTAAAGAACTCATGCCAAGTCATTGATGAATCAAAGTGACATATAAGTATTTATATCATCTAGAAGGGTCCCAGCATTTAATTGAGTTTTACTAGAATATTTTCATTATTTTTTATAATTCTTCTACTAAATGATCACAGTATAGTGCACCAATTCTCAGTTTTTAAAAGAAAAAAACACTTGTACATCCTTTGGTTTTATAATCTGAACGAGATGTCAGCTGACACTCTCAGCACTTTTGGAAGCCTAAGTGGAAGGATTGTTTGAGCCCAGGAGTTCAAGATCAGCCTGGGCAACATAGTGAGACCCTATCTCTACAAAAAATTTTAAAAATTAGCTGGGTGTGGTGGCATGTATGTATAGTCCTAGCTACTGGGAAGGCTGAGGCAGGATTGAGGAGTGAGCTGTAATTGTACCACTGCACTTCAGCCTGGACAGCAGAGTCCTTGTCTCCAAAAAAAAAAAAAAAATTATACAAAGCATATTGAAAAGAAAATGAAGTTTTTTTATGAATTATAGAAAATCTTATTTTCTGTGAAATCAAACTCATTAAAAAAGAATAATCAATAATTTAAAAATAAGAAATGAATAATCTTAGAAAGTCAGATAGACTGACATGGTGAATCTTTACACATTTCAATAGCCTTAGAAAATTTAGCACAGCAATTGATGAGAAAGGGACAAAGTCTTGAGGCAGATCCAAAAGGGTCTGGTTAATATACACGTATATTAAATACTTACTGTTAGCCGTTTTGTGAATGTCTCCCTTGGGGCACTGAAAAGCACTCTTCGAGCTTACACAATGCGCAATTTAAATGCCAAGAAGTATGGTGACTTTTCCCCTATTGTTATCCATGTCTTTCTGCTAATGCTGCCACATCTAAGTAAACTAGTGATGTGAAAATCTGGACTAGGCAGAAATTTAATCATAATAGCAAGCTATCAGTCTGTTTTCTTGCAGGGTGAGCTAATGTTCAGGATTTAGTGTACCAGGATAATGAAAGTTCGTGAGAAGCCTTTGATGTTTATGTCTAGTATTGCGTTATAGGCTTCAATTTAAAACACCCCATTAAGAAAGTTGGCATAAATTTTGCTTGGTTAGAAGAGGCTATAATCATTTACCTTATCTTCATTGTGTTTTAATGAGAGTAGATCGATGGATTCCTTTTTGTGAATTTCTACTTAGGCTGTAGAAATAGTGTTATACCCATATATAATTCTTGGCTTCTCTTCCTATTATTTGACAATATTTTTCCCCCTACTGATTTCAGTAGCAGGTGTTATAAAAAACATTTCATTAAAGGTAATCTTTATTGTTAGAAATTATTTTTTTAATCAGAGCCTCAATTAGGTACATTATGATACAATTCTTATACAATAATCAGACATATTTCTTATTTTCATTTAATGTATTCTAAGAAAACACTGAGTACTAGTTATATTTATAATGCTTTCTCCACAGGCTGCTTTGTATCGCCTCAGTGGAGACTGGAATCCTTTGCACATTGATCCTAACTTCGCTAGCCTAGCGGGTGAGTTGCTAATAATATGTGTGAATGAAAAATATTAGCTATTAGGTATTTAATTATCTGAATAACAAAACACACTGCTACTTACGACTGGTAGTTTGAGTAACATTTTAAAAATAGCCCTCTCCTTATTACATTTATGCCAGTGATATGGAAAGGTAGGACATAGTGTTCAAAAGATGGTGTACTTGAAATTCAAATTATGGTGCAGTGGATGGTAATCTTGTTAGTGAAAAGTCTAGGGTAGGACCCTGGGAGTGAGTGTCTAAGTTATCATGAAGGACAAGATCATTGGAGAGCGAGTAAGGAAATGAAAGGTTCGGGAAGGGTCATACACCTACATGGATATTTAAATTGCCATGGATGATTTCATGGTAACATCCAAAGCTAAGTAAAACAGGGCCAGGCATGGTGGCTCACGCCTGTAATCCTAGCACTCCGGGAGCCTGAGGCGGGAGGAATGCTTGAACTCAGGAGTTCAAGACCAGCCTGAGCAAGAGTGAGACCCTGTCTCTACTAAAAATAGAAAAATTAGTCTCTACTAAAAGATAGAAAAATTAGCCAGCCATCATGGTGTGCACCTGTAGTCCCAGCTACTTGGGAGGCTGAGGCAAGAGGATCACTTGAGCTCAGGAGTTTGAGGTTGTGGTGAGTTACAATGACACGACTGCACTCTACCCAGGGCAACAGAGTGAGACTCTCTCTCAAAAAAGAAAAAATAAATAAAAATAAACAAAAAA